TATTTTAAATTTATTATGGGAATAATTTTGGAATAATTTTTATATTGAATTTCCAATATATATTAATCTAAAAAAAATAAATAAATTATTATGTAAATAATTTTTCGATATTATTTAAAAATATTATGTAAAGGATTTTTTTTTTTAATAAAGATTAAAAAACATTAATTATGCGATAATTTATTAAAAAAATATTATATAATATTTATATTTATATATATATATTTATTTTATTAATAATTGGAAAATATGATCATAGGACATGATATTTTTTTAGATAAAAATTTATTATTAAATTATATAATATTTTATATCAATATATAATCAATAATATGATATTTTATAAAATATAATTTATATACAATATTTATATAATATTTTTATAATATATATTTAAAAAAAAAAAATATAATTTAGTATTTATTTAATTAATTTAAATATATTTAAATTAATAATTTTAATAATTTTTTTTTTTATATATATAATATTAAATTTAATATTTATATATATATTATTAATCGAATAATTTGGATTTAAATATGAAGATGGAAACATATATAACATATTTTTTTTTCCAAAGGAACCCCAATTTACGAAGATCATAATTATTATAAATAAATTTTAGATTTTTTTTAATTATATATAAACCAAATTTCTAAAGGAAATATGGAAGAATAGAATAATTTATTATGAATAATTTGATGAATTATTTTAGATATCCAAATCAATCTATATAATTCCAAATCCATGGATACGATATTCGTGAGAATGATCGATATTTATGAAAAAATAATACGATATATATATATTTTGTCCATCAAAATATATATTTTTATTTTTTATTCCAATTCAGATGAAAAAGCAAAAAAATGGTCAAAATCAATCATGTTTTTTCCTTGAAAATAATATTTATTTTTGAAAATAATTATGAATTAAATATGAATAATTATTATTTTTTATATCCATTTCCATCGGAATTTTTCTGATATTTATTAATTAATAAAAAATATCCGGGA